CATAGTTGTCCAAGTGTCAACAAGTCGCAAATTCACCGGGTTGTCACCCTGAGTATTGGTAAGTATGATCTCCAGACGAGATATCCTATCGAGCTCCATCCTTCTATAGGTCGTCTCTTATAGGTCACCTCTTATAGGTTGTTTATTCTTTGTTAGGTCATCCATCATGGCTTTAGTTGATTCACTCCATCTTTCCCTATATCCACATGTTTTTCCATAAGTCGAAATGGCCCATTCTTCAGCTGGTCGAACTGGATTCTTTAACACCGGTCCGATTTAGCCAAGTTATGGCTACATGAGTAGTCTCTCCTCCCCCCGAAACCCTACTCCATGAGACCTTGAGCTATGGAGTAGGATTAAGGGTTAAAATAAGGAAAGACGTTTCTGACATGTCAGTCGTTATGAATGCGAAAGGTAAAAGGACGTATTTTTGTCGCCTCGTACTGTATGTCCTCATTTTTTGCACAAGATCTTGACCACTGATCTACTCGCGATCCAAGGGCCAGAAATACTCCTTCCAAGTATAAAGAGCCACTTTCTTGTCTGAAAATTACTTTTGCCTTTTGTTTGTCCTACTTTTGTTATCTTTTTCTTTAGTAGTTTATTGATTTTTTGCCCCGTTTTAGGTCTTTTGATAAGATTTTCGGTCCTCCAGTCTTTTGTCTCGAGTGTGTCTCTTTGTTTCTCTATTTTCGTATTTTCTGTTGTTTTCTGCGTTTTCGTGTGTTTTCTTGTCCTTGGAGATATGCAGGTTTGGGTCGTTGACCAGTTGTTTGGAGTCTATCCAGTCGAGTTGTCCCGGATACACAGAGTACATGTCCCAGAGTTACATAAAGAAAAAAAAAACAAGCAGGAGCCATCCAGTTGCCACGCCGCGGCAAGTCTCGTGTCGCGGCACCTCACTCCCTTCACGGTGCGACATCATACGCTACACCCTTAACGGGCCTTCAGAGACTCACCTATCAGCTCCATGCCGCTGAGGACCACCACGCCGCGCCACCTGGAGCCTTACCATACCGTGTTGCCACCGTCGCGCCGCGGCGCCCGACCCTGCCGCGCCGTGTCACTCCTGCTGCGCCGTGCCACCCGCCCTCTCCGCGCCGTGGCAGCACTTCTCTGCGCCGTGTCATCTGCTGCATATATATATATGTGTGTATGTGTGTGTGTGTACGGGATAGATCATATTACGGGGGATCTTTGCCAGAACACATAAACCCTTCTCCTCAATTCCAAACACTCGTTTTTCATCTTTCTTTCGTATTTTTCATCGTAGAACACGGATTTAAGTTTGGATTTCATTATTGCTTTTGGACTCAAGCTTGTTTATTGAATTCATCTTTGGGATTATATCAATCGTAAGATACTCTTTTAATTTAATCGTTGATTATGAATTCTTGGGTTGAGATGAATGCTTGTGTTGTTTCGATTATGAGTAGCTAAATCCTTATGCTAGGGAATAGGGGATGATGTTTTGATTTCGTATACGATTATCGTGTTTGTGATGGTTCAATTTATGCGAGTTGATCTTTTATAAGGGTTTTTCAATTACCGTTCTTGGGTATTGAGAATTGTTGAAGGATGACACTTCAATTTCCAATTCAATTGAATTTGATTTATTCGTGCATGATGTTGGTTGCTCTGATTGATTAGTCAGTTAATCACCCTCTAGTCTATCTTTATCGACTCTTAGAATCGAAAGGGAAGGAGTCAGTCGAAATAGGCTCGTGTAAACTAGGCTTGTTCGTAACTGTATTGTCTAGGTGTTAAATGAATCATTAATTTGTCGTTCACATGTGTCCTCTTGTTACGAAGAGTTATTGAGGACGTATCTCTGAACAGTAGGTTAGTCGAATCATTTAGCCGAATGATCACTTGCTCGATAATTGCAATTCGAACTAAAACGGATATCCCCGACTCCCTAGCTTCTTAAATCTTGCTTGTCCTACGTTGTTGCTTTGTTATTTTTATTTGCTCTATTTGGATTTTAGTAGTTGATGATTATAATCAAAACCCAATTTTTTTTTAATTAGAATGTTGAGGAATTTTATTTCTTGTAGGTCTAATATCTCTCTAATCGAGCTATATTCTTTCCTCAAAATTGTAATTTTTTGTTCTTTATTTTTTTCATTCGAGCTAGTTATGCGAGCTAATAGGTCAGCTAGAGAATTTTGCTCTCTTGGTATCTGAATGAGCTCGAAAAGGCTCAAGTCTTGCACTAATCCTAGTACTTCTTTGACGAACTTTGTCATTATTTCCTCTTTCACCTCACACTATCCCAACACTTGGCCAACTATCAGCTGCGAGTCTGAATGTGCAGCTAGCTCACTGGCCCCGATAGCGAGTTTAATTCCCTTGATCAGAGCCTCGTATTCAACATTGTTGTTTGATGCTTTAAAACCCAATCTAGCCGAGAAGTCAAGTTGTTCTCTTTTTTATGTGATTAAGACAATCCCAAGGCCTGATCCCTTTGAAGCCGATGACCCATCGATATATGTCGACCAGCTTTTTGACTCTCATCAAGTATACTCCTCAATAAAGTCAGCTAGTGCTTGTGCCTTGATAGTTCTTCTTGGCTCATATTCAATGACATACTCACTCATCTCCATAACCCACTTCACCAGGAAACCTAAAATAGTTGGCCATCCAATAGTTTCTCCAAGATGAAAATTGGTTCGGACGACCATCTTGTGGTTGAGAAAATAGGGTCACAGTTTTATCTTTGTGATGACTAGAGTAAGCGCAACTTTTTCCACGTCAGTGTACCTCACCTTAGCTCTTTGTAAAACCTTAATAGTGTAATGGATAGATTGATGTAGACCTCTTTCCTCCCTAAGTAAGATTGAGCTCAACGCCATTAGTCATACTGAAATGTAAAGAACTAGATCTGCTTTTGGTTCGTGTTTCGTCAATAATGGTAACTCTTTAATGTCGTTAGGTTATCAATAGATATTTTTTCTTCATCGTCCCAGGCGAACTTCAACCTATTCTTCAGAGTTTCTTTGCAGCTTTGGCAATGAAACTTGACACGACCTGTCAAGACTTGTAGTTCACGGATATTCCTCGGGGGTTCCACGTCAACAATAGCCTTAACCTTGTCAGGTTCATCTCGATACCCCTCTCCATCACTATGTATCTGAGAAATTTTTCAGCTCTTACTCCAAAAGTACATTTGGTAGGTTTAAGTTTCATTCAAAACTTCCTCAGAGTATCAAACGTCTCTCTTAGGTCGGCTGGATGAGTTGTGGTCTTCTTACTTCACGAGCATGTAATCCACGTAAATTTCTAATTGTAATCTATTTGCTTGCCAAAAAAAAAAAAAA